GGTTCTAAATTGATCAATTTCATCCATCCCCAAATCCAATCCATTTGTTCCATCTTTTGCAGCAATGGAAAATACTTTCCTTTAACTGGTCACTATTACATGAGAGTTATACTGCTGGAGTAGTGATACACCTGATTAGTGCCACTTTCAAATAATTGAATTACGGAGATACTTTATTTTTATGATATGAAAATGTTTCATCCCCAAATCAATGCCTCTCAGAGCCTGGAAGAATTCTTAGGAGGAGTGACTTGAAATGTTTTTGGTTCAGACACAAAACACCAAAAAATATAGTCAGCAGAAAAAACTTTTTTTTGGCCTAATCTTCCAAAGTCTGATCCTTTAATTAGTGATTATCTCTAACTGTTCTCAGCACATGCTCATATTGCCAAAAGAAATTACAAAAATAAATGAATAATCTTATTTTTGGTTCTCTTCCAAGTCATTTGGAAGGACAGCCATTCAGTCCTTAAAACCTTCAACTCAATGTCACCATCCAGTTCAAAACCAGGCCTTTCAATTCCTTGCAAACTTTCTTTGTTTTGAATAATGTAATATTAATAAAAACTACTGTATCTGAGAATAGGCTTCTTTTTCTGATCTTGCTTTAAAAAATAATAAATTTAATACAAGTTTCGCTTCCTTAAACTGCAGCAGCTGCTGCATTTAAGTAAGTCTATATATGCTGTTAGTTGAACATACAGTTCATTTCTTAACGGAATTCATATTGTAAACTGGAAGTCTTTTATGAATAAATCATACATTTTAGAATCAGAAATGCTACCTTAAAACAGTCCATCCAAAAGTTTTTAACTACAGAACATGAGTGATAGCCCTCTGTTTTTGCTCTCATTTTACTTAGACAAGTACACGCGGCCCTGACAGGAAAGAAGTCTCACCCTATCAAATTCAGCAGTGAGAACATATACAAGAATGAAACCATCTAAAACAGAGAAGCAAAATTCTAATAATAATCAGTTCAAGATGCAATAAATAAAACGTGTCCCCATGCAGATGCAACAAGTATTCTACAGTAAGCTGCTACATCCTGTCATCAAATGACATCAAGTTTCTAATCATTTACACACTGATAGTGCCTGATATCTGTTCTGACAGGGATACAAGTGGGGCAAGGGGGAGCACGATTCTTGCTGGAGACAATTACCAGTCACACCAATTGTAAACAGGGTACCCTGTGGCTTGGCATCCACCCGTTTATCGGAGCTTTGAATGTATCTTGTCATGGAAAAATTCATCTGAATCTCTGGAGAGSAATCAGTGAGGCTGAACATGAAATGCCACAAAAGCAGGAGAAAACGCTTTCTCAACTGACCTCAGCTCATGCATGTTTTTCTACTTATATTCTTTYAACAAACAGATCAGACACGCTTTTTCAAAAGCTCTTTAAGTACCTACATTAGCCCTTCATCATCATAAACAGATTTTTCTCATTCTGATTTTATTTTCTTTAAAATAAATACATAAACAAAAATACACATTTATCTCTACTGACATATCTTTTACTTCCCCCTTCCCCTCATGTGCCACATGCAGTAATGTGAAGAGCCCATGGCACACATGCTAGCAAGGGAAGTAAGGCAGATTTTGATTGTCATACAGAATTTCATGCATGTCAGAAACTAAGCAGCTGCCAAATCACAACTCCTACTCTCTAAAATTGTATACAAGGCCTAAAATTGTGCTCAAAATTCCTGAGCAATTCACCATAATGATCAGGCAGGAACTCAGGTGGGGATCTAAGAGAATACAAGGTAGYGCTTGACAATACTTGTGAAAGCACGTGTATTTTTTTCTCCCTTCCCTCTTGGAACTCCAAACTCACCTAGAGATGGGAAATGAATGCTCTGATCTAGGGGAAAGGATCAGCTGACACGATTATTCTGACACACTGCTGAAGTCCAGTGTGCAGAACTAGGGGATATGGAGGCCTTTAGGAGAAAATAAGTGGAGCATTGATTGTTCTAAATGAGACATTTTATTTTTCTTTCTGTGCTGAATTGAGACTCTAAAACAAACCCCAAATTACCCTCTCCTACAGAACACATTGAACCAAGCACCCCTCACCTGAAAAACACTGTGGCAGGTTCCAGAGCTCTACATACAGATGGATATATACAGTCTGAAACAGCCAGATCTCTTAGGGGACAGCACCTATAGCTGCCCAATCTAACATAGCACTGCTGCACAATACTGGAACAGAACAACAAATGTGTCTATATTATGACTCTAAACTAAATTTAAATGTGGAGTCTGCTGTCATTCAGAGTATCACAAGGCACATATTTTTGGCCTGCCAACAATGCAACTCTCACTAGTGAGCACAGTTTCACCAGAAATTATCCAGTAATACTGCAGTAAAGACAGAGTTTTTACCAGATTTTGCTCTGTCACCACAAGAGGCAACCATAAATCAGGTAATCAGTGCTAATAATTCCAGGTATTGGGTTCATCTTTCACGCTGTGACARTATCATGGCAGACATTTTTCTAGTGCTCTCCAGTGCCCTCTTTCTCACTGAGGTGTTCCAATTGCCAGTTTAACCCAGGGGTGCAGGTCAGGCTGGATGAACAGGGAAGCGTTGGAGCGCTGGGAGTGCAGGTTCAAAGGAAGAATGTTCAAAGAAAGCATAGGACAGAACCTCGGGTACTGCTCCAGGAACTAGACAGAAATGGGGAGCTGTTTGAGGGAGAGAGAGGTTCTGGGGGCTTGTGGGTGTCAGTAGGCAGWGGCTCAAGTTTGTAGCTATTTGTACCACCTTCTACTTCTGATATCTCAGCCCACTGCATTCCCAGTAGAGCAAGTGCAGAGCACCACCAGCTCTTCCCACCCAGGAATGGCTTACAGAAATGGACTCAGGAACACACATGTTCATGGAATACACTGGTGAAGTGGTCACAMCACCCACAAACATGTTCAGCTTCCAGAAGAAAAACATCAAGCAGAATGACCAAAATACAAGGAAACAATGAATTTGTGCAAACATACACATCAGCTGAAAGGATCAAGATGAAAATCATGGGATTGATGGGAAGAATACATAATTAAGGAAAAAATAAAGTTCATATTGTTGGTATATTAGGCTGGTAGAATACAAATAATGTAGAGAAAAAAAGATCAGTTCTGCTTTCTCAGACAAGAGAAAAATGAACAGTCATTAATACCCAAATAATTCTGAAGTTTAAAATTATTAAGTTATCATTATTAGGTAATTATTGATACACATAAGGAAACACTACAACTGAGCTTTTAGCAGTATATACTACTAAAATATATATACTCCCAATCTCTCTGCTTAATTGACATTACTGACAAACCAAAATGGAATTTAAAAGTTCTGTTCACAGACATAAATATCAGATAATAATTCATTTTTTAAAAAATCAGTTGACAGTTTTTTTTCTGGAGCATCCCATATTAACTCTTTCCAAAGATTGGCCCTAGCTTTAGTTTGGCACAGGTTCTCTCCTGTTCATTTCTTTCAGAAGTCTTTTACTGCCAAATGGTGTGATCACCAGCAGTTTAGACAGTTAGACTATAGAAGAAATTTTGTGATTTCAGAAGGAAAATTCTTTACTTTAGAAAAAAACTGCATAAATGCTTCATTTCAGCATAGGATTTAAATTTTTGTCTGTAACACTGTACTGTTTAAAATTACATACTGTACAAAGTATCATCTTCCAAAATACATATCACTGCAGTATTTCTATAGTGAAAAGGCCAAGTGTAACAAGGTACTTTTAAACCACAAGGCCCCAGMATCAAGATAAACCTTGCATTTTAGAAGTGTTCCACTCCTTCCTCCACTGTGAAACAAACACCTTTCCCAYTTTTGGAATCCAGGAGCAAATAATGGAGGTGGCTTTGATGCAACATATAGTTGACAGATGTCCTGTCAATGGTTTCTAAGGAAAATATAACCCAGCTACAACATCAAAATGAAAAATTCACACTATCAAAACATCTTTCCTTGTTGGTAAAGAAAAAAGAAGCCACCAGGACAGCTCTCACTCTGGGGATGCTTATAAACTTCACAAACATAATTATATCAAATTAAGAGGACAAGAAGCAAAACAATAACACATTATGAAAGGAAATTTTGAGTAATAACATCTACCCCAGAATTTCTGTGTGATCAGATAATTCATAACCCAGATAACAAACCCAACACTTGCTCTGAGCAACACATAAAATTATCTCCATCTGTTTCTGCCATTAAAAGCCTATTTGAGACTGCTGCTTTTCTCAGAGCTCTAATAGCCCTGTAGTGGCAGAGTTTCAGAACCCCAAACATTAAGATCTCCTCTGACACTCCACAGAGCTTGTGCTACATAACACAGAGGTCCCTCCTSTTGCCATGACAGATCTAAGAAGATCAAACAGCTCCATAGACTTAGAATATTCACCGACTGCACTGATGACATTTGGACACAGAATGGGAATTGATTCCCAAAAGGGTTCTCCTCTCAGCTCACCCATATGGCAAGGAGACTGGTTTCCTGCTATATAAAAATGGTTAAAACTTCTTTTTTTAAAATAAAAMCCAGAAAAAATAAATACTCAATTTTGTGACAGTTTGTTTGGGTTTGGGTTTTTTAAGTATTGACAGCCCTAAAATTAAGGCATACATAGAACAAAAGTTTGAAAAAACAAAGTGATGGATGTGAGTTTATAAAAAAACCCACGAGCAAATACCTGAACAACAAGCTATGTTCTTACTCTCATCACAGCAAAGAATAGAAAGCTAAATGTAAAGCATTACTACAGATACAGGTCAGCAATTTCTATTGCTAATGCCATGCAACAGGTACCCATGGCAGGAGGTAAAGCCACATAATCACAATTTCAGTTGCTTAAAACAAGTCAAACTATTTCACTCTTCTGCTGCCCTSACACTAAAACCACTGCCCAGCAGAATTCTTCTTAACCAAAGGAAAGAAAAGCAAACAAAAAAAGGAAGGAACAAATAACAAATTCCTTACCATTGTGATGAGTAATCTGTATTTATCCAGCATTGCCTGGTTGTCATGGCATCCTGCCAGCAGCTGCCAGATCTCTGCCCTCAGTGCTTCTGGAACACCACTCTTGACCAGAGTGGACAATCCATTTGGTCTCACAACAAGGTTATTGTGCCTGAAACAAAGATGATATTTTGCCTGTTATACTTCAACTACACGAGTCAAAATAAATATTAAAAACATTAAAAATCTTTATAATTATTCTTTAAAGCAGAATCAGCAACTGGCAACACCAAGAAACGTAAGAATACAAAAATCACCACACATGCACAGTGTTACACAGAGCTTTCAGTCACAGATGTTGAAAAGACCTTTTTCAGATAACAATATTTGCTGATCTAGATTAAAGCTCTCTTAAGACTCACAACAATTTTCAGAGCAATGCAGCAGAAGACTGTCCAAACTSATTCTTTGCTCTTCCTGCTGTAGGAAATGCTGTTCTGAGTGCTTTGTCCACTGTTGTGTTTTCTAGCTCTCCTGGTAGGAGAGTAGTGAGAGTCTCTATATAGCCAAATACCAGCAAGCCATGATTAATTAAATACCCTGCAATCTGACCCTGGATTTGCAGTACTTRTTCTATGAAACAGATCATTGGGACATGAATAGTTTACCACTGTCATTTAAATTTAAAAGGTGTTCTAACCAGTTTCTTCTTCCTATGCTTTGGGGATGATATCCCCATTTTTCCAAATGACCTGAGAATTGAAGAGTGTGATTATATATAAAACCCTTATTATTTTAAAAACAATGATTATTTTTAACTTTCAATGTGTAGTGCAATACAAGTAATTTCTAACTTTATCTCTAAGATTCCCAAAAAAAAACTAGCTTCTTTTTCAGCCCACTTTGCAACCAATCATATTAGCCTAATGGTCTTGTGATGGGAAAGAGCTAGAAAGAAAACCAGTATTCACAGAAACATTAAAAGCACTAAGTACTTGACTTGCGTGGGTTCAGAGGAGGCCATGGAGATGCTGCAGGTGCTGGAGCCTCTCTGCTACGCACACAGGTTGGGATAGCTGGGGATGTTCAGCCTGAAAAAGGAATGGCTCCAGGGAGACMTTATTATGGCCTTTCAGTACCTTAAAGGAGCTTATAAAAAGGAGGGAGAGAATTTTTATATGGGGAGATAGTGACAGGACAAGGGCAAATGGTTTTAAACTGACAGAGGAGAGGGATAGATGGGTATTGGGAAGAAATTCTTCCTTGTGAGGGTGGTGAAGCCCTGGCACAGGTTGCCCAGAGAAGCTGTGGTTGCCCAGTCCCTGGAAGTGTTTAAGGCCAGGGTGAACAGGGCTTATTCCACTAAACTAGGTTGCTCTATGTCCCTGCCCATGGCACAAGGTTGAATGAGATCAGCTTTAAGGTTCTTTCCAACCCAAATTATTTTAGGATTCTATGACTAGACACTCTAAGCAGTTACAGAATTATAGCATACATTGAAAAATAAATAAATAGTAAATAMATCAGAAAGTTGAAGCTCAAGTTGTGGATTAGTTTGGTTATTACATGGATTTAGTCATATGTGRGGAGAATCACAGAAGGGCTCCCCTGAGGACTGGGCAAGCTGATCAAAAGAACAGCTAAAAAGGGACATTACCATAGAAATGGAACAGAGAAGATTTCAGCAACAYCAAGGAAACAATACAAATAAAGCAACAACTAACACACATGCTACAACACCATCCTGAATATAATCCTAACTGGRAATTAAGCAACCAGACTTTACTGTTTCTGTCCTATATTTCTATTTTATAGCAGAGGTAGCACTTCAGCAACACATGTCCATGCTGGACAGCATAACTAACTTCCACAGTCAACTTTCCAAGTACTGAATGGCTCTTTGGGAAACAGCTTGAGCATCCATAATCCTTGCTCARAACRAAAGAAATGATCATAAAATAAAAGYYTGTCTTATTCTAACTTTATTGCATACCATAGGGGGGGTCACTGTTCATGGATGCTGAAATCTTTAATTTGTTACAAAATGCTGCAATTCTCCTGCACAAAACTCAAAAACACAATKTTAAAATATCAGAGAGCAAGCACACAGAGCAGCAATACACAGGCTGTGCTCCAACTTAAACAAATATTTCAGATCAAAGACTGTTATTGATCATTGCCACTGTTTGGCTTTTTTTTAAGAAATAGTTGACCAGTCAGCTAAACCAGCTTAGCTGGCAAGAAAAACTTCAATGCTGAGGATGCAGTCAATAGTAAAATAAATAGATATACCATTACTTTTCAATTGTTCATTCTATCTTTTTTGTAAATTATCTTACTCTCATTTCTGTTTATATGGTTGAAGGAGAGTCACAGCGGAGCAGTGTTTCTGCTGAGTCCAATAGGTGACAGTGACATTTTAATGAAATGACWAAAAGCAATTGAAATGCAAGAAATCTTTCATCTAAGAAACAAATCAGCTCACCAGTTCCGCAAGTGGAAATGTTAATTTTTGTTTGTTTACTTTTTCTTACAAATGCACAGATCTTCTACTAACATATGYTGCAGTTTTCAATACACTAGAAGATTTTATTTCAATTTATTTTTAGTTTTCAAATTCTTACAATTTTTCATATGTTACTCTAAGTTTTGTTCTTAATATGTAACATAACACTATTCAAGAACTCAAGTAGTTTACAGACTTGAATTTTTCTTAAGAGGTAATATTGCATGAGACATTCCTGAAGAAATATTTGCTAGTCCTCAAACAGGCTGGGATTTTCCATTTCTCACCCCATTTTTAACTAATTTTAAGCTGTTTTAACTACTAAACAATTCTCTGTGTTATGTGTAAGTTATGTTAGGACTCCAAAATAATTTATCCCAAAAGTCTTAAATGTTTTGTCTCACTGATTAGTATACTTGAGTAACCAGAAGAAAATAGTTGGTTACATGAAACTAAAGACAATGAGCTGTGGGTGACTCTTTACTTCAGCATACTCATCCACAAGTCCAGGTATTTCTCAAGAACACCATTAATAATAATCAACTGACAAATTAATTCAAAAGAAAGTTAAATTGAAAGGCAGCGTCTTCCAATCTTGGATCTTGGATTAAGGTCTGAAACTTGGGTGATGGAATAGTTAAAAACAGACAGGAGGAGAGGGTTCCACAGGGAAGGCTCAGTTAAACTCAGTACAACCTTGTGATGCCTCATGCAGAAATGTTTGTRTGAGATCTCTATACAGGTGAGGTCAGCAGTAAGAGGCTGTTTCTCCAAAGCTACAAGGTGACCAAGTAAAGGGAGGAATTGCCCAAATAAATCCTTAAAATGTTATTCAGCTTTCTTTTTGGAGTTGGAAAAGGGAACTTCCAATTGTAGATTAAGGGGCTCTGATTATTTTTGTCTCTAGGAGCAGGAGCTATCACTTACAGAGGGAAAACCAAGTAAGGGGCTCTGGCACTTGCTCAGGTCTCTCTGAGGCAGCAAACACACAGACTTTTTCCTCTCTTGGCTCAGTATGCCCTGCTACAGAAGCACTTAATTAAACGACAGAAATAACACTGTTGAGAACACAGCCTGGACTTACAAATTGTGTTTGTTTATTCACCAACAGAAACCATTTCAGTGAGGATTCACAGTCTTTCTAGATTCCTTTTCAAGTGCTTACATATAGCACATTAAAAAAATACACAAAAAAAAGTACTTCTAAACAAATTAAATGTACACCAGCTGGCACAAATGGCATAGATAGAATATGTGGGAGTTGCTGTGTCTGTCCTATCCCAGCACTGAGTTTCATGAGGATTTAACATCCAGCCCCAAATGACCAGAAAGTTCTGCCTGTGAAGTCTCATGCCTGCTGTGTGAGCACATACAAATACACTCTCAAACACTGAACAAAACCAGACTTTTGYACATGCTGTGGGAAAGATTTGTCAATAAACCTCCAAGTAATCTATACTAGCCACCTTTAAATTAAGTTTAAAAACTATACTTCAGTGCCTCTCATTTTCCTTTTTAAACTGTGTAAACTGAAGAATTTTAAACCTCTTGCTCAGGAGCACAGTGTCATAAACCAAATAAAAGGTTAATATCTAAAATCTAATGTAAGAAATTAAACTTTACCATTTCCCCAGCAACTCTCCCCAGGAATACAAAATCTTCTCAGGACAATCCTTTGACACATCACCAGTGCCACTGGAGAGCTCATTATCACTCTCTGTAAAAATAAAGAAAAAACAAGAAAACAAAAGCATGCACAGGTTTACCCAGATCACAGACACTAAAGATGCWTACATATAAATCTCAGACAATTTTTTTCTCATCTATCAGTTTTAAAAGCATAAAAAGACACAAAATTTTAGTGGAATCACAAAGACTGTTTAGCAGACCTTACAAAACAAATGTATTAATAAAGGTATCATAAAGTTTAAAAGACCAGGACAAGGGAAAAATTCACAGCAGTGTTACAGGAGAAAAGACTGGGACRTAGTAAAGCATTATATAAGAAAAGTTTCAAGGCTGTGAATCCTCTATTTAATGAAATTTCAAGGTGYTATCCAAAAGTCACATCCACTCCAGATGTCACATTAAGAGAAGTCTCTGCTAAAGCAAAAATAATGCTACTTCATTACACCACACCCCTTTGGCTATCCTGTGGTACCCTGAGCTCAGGAAGCCTTCTCTGAGCCACAAAGTAATTTTTTTTTTTTTTACTGAAGTAAGTTCATGGATGAGCAGAAAAAAAACAAGAGTGTGACATTAAAGGTCATAGTGCATAGAACAGAGAGGATTTCTTCAAATGAAACCTCATAACTATTAAGAATGAAACACTTATGGAGGGTTATATGCCATTATATGACTAACAGAAGCCCAGAAGAGCTAACGTGAGTCTGGAATAGCACGCTCAAATAACCACSCAATCCAAGCACCCATCAAATGTCCAGGTGTCCCATGGTCCTGTGCAGCTGCCCACAGTAGGCTGGACAGTCTAACTCCATATGGCAAGTCCTTATGCAAATATGGTCTTCCAGGTTTTTTGGACTTTTTCCAGCTTTATTGGAATAAAATACTGATAAGAATCAAAGTGCAACTTCAACAACACCAGCTGCTTACAGGCTCCAGCTCTCAGTGTGTCTTTAGTAGGAAACACAGCCAAAAAAGAGACACAGCAACAGTCCTATTATCATCATCAGAATCCAAGAATGGCTTGTGTTGGAAGTGTCCTTAAAGCCTCATCCAGTTCCAACCACCTGCCATGGGCAGGGACACCTTCCCCTAGACCAGRYTGCTCCAAGTCCTGTCCAACCTGGCCCAGGACATTTCCAGGGATGGCACAGCCACAGCTTCTATGGGCAACCAGTGATCCTCAGAGGCTGCTGAAGCCATGGACAATTTGATAGTGGGCTCCAAGGTTGCCCTTTCCTATGAGCTGAACTGTTTCCAGAAGTTAAAATGTAACAAAAAACGGACCAAAGCTACATCTGCCCCCCAAATCCCTTCAATACTCTTTYCCACACAACTCTGTCACATCTTGTTGCTGATATCTAATACCTGAACTCCTCAGGCACATTAAACACTTCAACTCCAACTTCATGTAGGCAAGATAGTAGTTTAGGTAGATGAGGATCTTCAGTAT